GATTTTGGGTGGTTTTGGAGAGGGTGGGAGCTGCTGTTTCTCACCGAGGAGCCGGGGTGGGGGTTGAGCAACACAGATGTGGGGAGAAGGTTTGGGGAGCAGGGATGAAGGGGGGGGGAACCCCACCTCGTCCCCCTCCCCGCGTCCTTTTCCAGCCGTTTTCCATCCCTGTCCCCCCTCCTCATGCTCCATCCTGTCACCTTCCACCTCAGCTCGGGGGGGGGCACCTCCCTGGAACCACTAAAAGAGCATTGGGGAGGCTGGAGCTGGGGCTGGGGGGGCAGGCGGGGGCAGTGGGGCAGTGGAGCAGGGCTGAGCTGATTCACACCCCCACCTGGGTGGTTTTGGATGGGTTTGGGTGATTTTGGGTGGTTTTGGAGAAGGTGGGAGCTGCTGTTTCTCACCGAGGAGCCAGGGTGGGGGTTGAGCAACACGGATGTGGGGAGAAGGTTTGGGGAGCAGGGATGTGGGGGGGGGAAACCCACTCCTCGTCCCCCTCCCGTGTCCCTTTCCAGCCGTTTTCCATCCCTGTCCCCCCTCCTCATCCTCCATCCTGTCACCTTCCACCTCGGCTCAGGGCGGGGGGGCCGTTCTTCACTCCAGGCAAAAATCAGCCGGGTTGGAATTAACGAGTTTAATTGTGGGGCTGAGCTAAACCCGGCTGCTTTTTTTTTTTATTATTTCATTTTTTTGCCTCAAGCAAGCTGCTCCTCGGGCTCGGGGAGGCAGGGAATGCCCTGCGGCAGCGGGAAGGCCGAGGAGCAGATGGGGATGGTGCAGCGGGGGGTGGGGGCTCCTTCCACCCCGCAGCCGGGGGAAACTGAGGCACGGAGCTGATGGGAGAGGGGGGACACACCTCAGAATTCCAAAATCAACCCCCAAATGATCTTTTCCCTGGCCAAAAGTGTCTCCTTGGTGGGATGCCAGAGGTGTTGGCTTAATCCTGGGGGTTTTGGGGTTGGTTTTTGGTTGTTTTTTTTTTTTTTTGGAGAGCTTTTCCCTGGCTCTCGCCTTTCCCTCGCGGCGTCGATGGCAACGGGACGGGGGGAATTATTGCCACAAATAAGGTGGTGGCCACTTTGCTGGCCAAAGGGGGGGGTGAGGAAGAGGAAAAATAAAAGGCAAAAAGTCATAAAAATAACACAAAAAGTGCCCCCCACCCTGTGCACGAAGGAGGGTGAGGGAGCTGTGGATTGACACTGGCTTTAAATAATATCCTTAATATGGGAAGAGCCTGATTTAGTCCCTCTCTCCCTCTCGGGTGGTGACACCGGTGACCAGCGGTGGCTCCCAGCGAAGCCACCAGCCACGGATGGTGACGGTGGCTCCTCACAGCCCCGGTCCCCCTGGGGGAACCCGGTGTCACCTCGCCCCCGACCCCCCCACGGCAAAACCAGCAGGGTTTTTGTGGCCTCAGTGGAGGACCAGGCTCTTTGCATCCCCTTTTCCGTAGGGAACCCCGTTTTCCCAAAAAGTCTTGATTTTTGGTGGCAGGACGGGGGGTGACACCGTGTTCCCAAGGGCCGAGGAGGAGGAAGGTTGAGGGGACCGAGGTGACAAGCGCCCCACGTCCCACCCCACCGCGCTCAGCAGGGCACTCACCAGGGCCAGGTGGTCCTCCGTCTGCCCGCGGGGACCAGGGAGAGAACCGAGAGGCAGCGTTAACTCCACCGCCCCCACCAACCACCGCCCCACCACGCTCACCCACCGCCGGCCACCCACTGGTTATACTGGTGCAAAGCCCCGCGCTGGGCTGGTGGCATCCAGTGGGGTGCAACGGGGAAGCCCAAGCCTTCCTCGCTCCCCATCATCGCTCCCACCGGTGCGAGGTGCCCCCCTTGATGTGGGTACCACCGTGAAGGTCCACCTCACCATCAACCACCAATCAACCACCACCATCATGATCATGGTGACCATCAGGTCACCATCAACCACCACCATCATGTCACCATCAACCACCACCATCATGTCACCAATAACCACCACCACCACATCACCATCAACCACCACCATCACGTCACCATCAACCACCACCATCAACCACCACCACCACGTCACCATCAACCACCACCACCACGTCACCATCAACCACCACCATCATGCCACCATCAACCACCACCACCACGTCACCATCAACCACCACCATCACGTCACCATCAACCACCACTACCATGTCACCATCAACCACCACCATCACGTCACCATTAACCACCACCATCACGTCACCATCAACCACCACCACCACGACACCATCAACCACCACCATCAAGTCACCATCAACCACCACCACCACGTCACCATCAACCACCACCACCACGTCACCATCAACCACCACCATCACGTCACCATCAACCACCACCATCATGTCACCATCAATGACCACCATCACCCCCACCCTCGTGCCCGGGGACTCACCAAGTGGTGCATGAGCCCCTTCCCGCTCTGGGAGGTGATGACGCGCAGGTCCGGTTTGCGGCTGTTGGTGGCCAGTTGGGCGCCGTGTGAGGGCGGCGGCGGCGGCGGGGACTTGGCCGGGATGATCTTGCCCAAACCGCTGCCGTTGGAGACAGGCAGGAGCCCCGGGGAAGCTCGGGCACTCACGTAGCCGTTTCCTGCCGGAAAACAGGGCACGAGAGAGGAAGGTGAACACACGGCAGCAGTGAATGCACAGTGATGGTGAATGCACAGTGATGGTGAATGCACGGTGATGGGGAATACCGGGTGGTAAGGGACGCAGGGCAGTGGTGAATGCATGGGAATAGTGAATGCACAGGGATAGTGAATGCATGGGAATAGTGAATGCATGGTGATGGTGAATGCACGGTGATGGTGAACATATGGCAATGGTGAATGCACAGCAACAGTGAAAGCATGGCAACAGCGAATGCAAAGTGATGGTGAATGCATGGTGATGGTGAATGCATGGCAACAGTGAACACATGGGAACAGTGAATGCATGGCAATGGTGAATGCACAGCAACGGTGAATGCATGGTGGTGGTGAACGCACGGTGATGGTGAATGCACAGTGATGGTGAATGCATGGTGATGGTGAACATATGACGATGGTGAATGTACAGCAACAGTGAAAGCATGGCAACAGTGAATGCAAAGTGATGGTGAATGCATGGCAACAGTGAACACATGGCAATGGTGAATGCATGAAGATGGTGAATGCATGACAATGGTGAATGCACAGCAACGGTGAATGCACAGCAGCAGTGAATGCATGGCCGTGGTGAATGCACGATGAATGGGTGGTGGTGGTGAATGCATGGCAACACGTCACCATCAACCACCACCATCACGTCACCATTAACCACCACCATCACGTCACCATCAACCACCACCACCACGACACCATCAACCACCACCATCAAGTCACCATCAACCACCACCACCACGTCACCATCAACCACCACCACCACGTCACCATCAACCACCACCATCACGTCACCATCAACCACCACCATCATGTCACCATCAATGACCACCATCACCCCCACCCTCGTGCCCGGGGACTCACCAAGTGGTGCATGAGCCCCTTCCCGCTCTGGGAGGTGATGACGCGCAGGTCCGGTTTGCGGCTGTTGGTGGCCAGTTGGGCGCCGTGTGAGGGCGGCGGCGGCGGCGGGGACTTGGCCGGGATGATCTTGCCCAAACCGCTGCCGTTGGAGACAGGCAGGAGCCCCGGGGAAGCTCGGGCACTCACGTAGCCGTTTCCTGCCGGAAAACAGGGCACGAGAGAGGAAGGTGAACACACGGCAGCAGTGAATGCACAGTGATGGTGAATGCACAGTGATGGTGAATGCACGGTGATGGGGAATACCGGGTGGTAAGGGACGCAGGGCAGTGGTGAATGCATGGGAATAGTGAATGCACAGGGATAGTGAATGCATGGGAATAGTGAATGCATGGTGATGGTGAATGCACGGTGATGGTGAACATATGGCAATGGTGAATGCACAGCAACAGTGAAAGCATGGCAACAGCGAATGCAAAGTGATGGTGAATGCATGGTGATGGTGAATGCATGGCAACAGTGAACACATGGGAACAGTGAATGCATGGCAATGGTGAATGCACAGCAACGGTGAATGCATGGTGGTGGTGAACGCACGGTGATGGTGAATGCACAGTGATGGTGAATGCATGGTGATGGTGAACATATGACGATGGTGAATGTACAGCAACAGTGAAAGCATGGCAACAGTGAATGCAAAGTGATGGTTTGGCTGCGGGGTGGGATGCTGGTGGAACTGGGATGTATTGTCCCCAGGATGAATGCATGGTGGTGGTGAACGCACGGTGATGGTGAATGCACAGTGATGGTGAATGCATGGTGATGGTGAGCATATGACGATGGTGAATGTACAGCAACAGTGAAAGCATGGCAACAGTGAATGCAAAGTGATGGTGAATGCATGGCAACAGTGACACATGGCAATGGTGAATGCAAAGCAACGGTGAATGCATGGTGATGGTGAAGGCATGACCATGGTGAATGCACGGCAACAGTGAAAGCATGGCAACAGTGAATGCACAGTGATGGTGAGTGCATGGCAACAGTGAATGCATGGCCATGGCCAATGCACAGCAACGGTGAATACACGGTGAATGCATGGCCATGGTGAATGCACAGCAACGGTGAATGCACAGCAGCAGTGAATGCATGGTGAATGCATGGTGATGGTGAATGCATGGCAACGGTGAAAGCATGGTGATGGTAAACACATGGTGATAGTGAATGCACGACAATGGTGAATGCACAGCAGCAGTGAATGCACAGTGAATGCATGGTGGTGGTGAATGCATGACAACAGTGAACACATGGCAATGGTGAATGCATGGCGATGGTGAGTGCATGGTGATGGTGAATGCATGTTGGTGGTGAACGCGCGGTAATAGTTAACTTAGCGCAGTGGTGAATGCATGGCAATGGTGAAGACATGGCGATGGTGAATGCACGGTGGCGGTGAATGCACAGTGGCAAATGCCTGGCGGCAGTGAACGCACGGCAGCAGTGAATGCACAGCAGTGGTGACTGCACGGTGGTGGGGGATGCACAGTGATGGTGAACCCCTGCACGGTGAGCGGTGCTGCAGCAGCGCTCCATGGGTTCCCCTCCCCGGGTGAGCCCCCATCCCCCAGGCTCCCCCGCAGCCCCCAGGCAGGGGCACCCCCAGCCCCGCCGCAGGCTCCGGGACCAACGCGGCGCAGCCCTGGGGAGCGCGGTGACCCCTGGGGATGGTGCAGCAGGGACCCCCTCCCACCGAGACCCGCACGGCTGCCCCGGGGCAGGCAGGGCACAGGGAGAGTACAGGCAGGGTACAGGCAGGGCAGAGTTAGGGTACATGGAGGGCACAGGCAGGGCAGAAGCAGGACACAGGCAGGGCACAGACAGGGTGCAAGGCAGGGTAGAGGCAGGGCACAGGCAGGGCACAGGCAGGATACAGGCAGGGCACAGGCAGGGCAGAGGCAGGGTAGAGGCAGGGCAGAGGTAGGGTACAGACAGGACACAGGTAGGGTGCAGGCAGGGCACAGGCAGGGCAGAATTAGGGCACAGGAAGGGTACAGGCAGCACACAGGCAGGGTGCAGGCAGGGTACAGGCAGGACACAGGCAGGGCACAGACAGGGTGCAAGGCAGGGTAGAGGCAGGGCACAGGCAGGGCACAGGCAGGATACAGGCAGGGCACAGGCAGGGCAGAGGCAGGGTAGAGGCAGGGCAGAGGTAGGGTACAGACAGGACACAGGTAGGGTGCAGGCAGGGCACAGGCAGGGCAGAATTAGGGCACAGGAAGGGTACAGGCAGCACACAGGCAGGGTGCAGGCAGGGTACAGGCAGGACACAGGCAGGGCACAGACAGGGTGCAGGCAGAGTACAGGCAGGGCAGAGGCAGAGCAGAATTAGGGCACAGGCAGGGTACAGAAAGGACAAAGTTAGGGCACAGGTAGGGTACAGGCAGGTTACATGCAGGGCAGAATTAGGGCACAAGCAGGGCAGAGTTAGAGCACAGGCAGGGTACAGGCAAGACACAGACAGGGTGCAGGCAGAGCACAGGCAGGGCAGAGGCAGGGTAGAGGCAGGGCAGAGGTAGGGTGCAGGCAGGGCACAGGCAGAGTACAAGGGCACAGACAGGGTGCAAGGCAGGGTAGACGGTTACATGCAGGGCAGAATTAGGGCACAATAGAGGGAGGGCACAGGCAGGGCAGAATTAGGGCACAGGCAGGGTGCAGGCAGGGTACAGGCAGGGCAGAATTAAGGTACAGGCAGGGCAGAGGCAGGGCAGAGGCAGGGTAGAGGGAGGGCACAGGCAGGGCAGAATTAGGGTACAGGCAGGGCACAGACAGGGTACAGGCAGGGTAGAGTCAGGGTAGAGGCAGAGTACAGGCAGGGCACAGGCAGGGCAGAATTAGGGTACAGGCAGGGTGGAGGCAGAGTACAGGCAGGGCACAGACAGAACACAGGCAGGGTACAGACAGGGCAGAATTAGGGCACAGGCAGAGCACAGGCAGGGCACAGGCAGGGCAGAATTAGGGTACAGGCAGGGCACAGACAGGACACAGGGCACAGGCAGGGCAGAGTTAGGGCAGAATTAGGGTACCGGCAGGACACAGGCAGGGTACAGGGAGAGTACAGGCAGGGCACAGACAGGGCAGAATTAGGGCACAGGCAGGGCACAGGCAGGGCACAGGCAGGGTGCAGGTAGGGTGCAGGCAGGGCAGAAATAGGGTACAGGCAGGGTGCAGGCAGAGTACAGGCAGGGCACAGACAGGGTAGAGGCAGGGCACAGGTAGGGCACGCAGCCGGTGCCCGGAAGGCAGGGCACAGGCAGGGCACAGGCAGGGTGCAGGTAGGGTGCAGGCAGGGCACAGGCAGGGCACAGGCAGGGTGCAGGTAGGGTGCAGGCAGGGCAGAATTAGGGTACAGGCAGGGTGCAGGCAGAGTACAGGCAGGGCACAGACAGGGCAGAGGCAGGGCACAGG